CACAGACTGGCTTTCAAAAGGCGGTTGCTTAGCAACTGCCAAGGAATTGGGAAGACAGGAGGAGGCATCCACCAGAGATATTTTATAACCAAAATGAGCTGTGCTACATGTGTCTGATTGCGTTCAAGGTAACCAAGTAAGAGACAACAACCCAACAACCGACTATTTTTGCATCATGAGGAAAAATACTTGGCTCCTGCCCAGAAGGGCAATTACCTAAAAGTCTTGGCAGGCCCCATGGTATGAGAAATGGTAACTGATACGAGGATGACAAAAAAAATCACTGACCTTCATAAATACTGATGATATGAGGATGGTTGAGGGATGACATGATCTCAATCTCTCGTCTGATGTGAACCATGTCTTGTTCATCCTTAATTTTGTCCTTACGGATGGATTTTATAGCAACCTATAAAGTCAGGAAATGAAATGTTACTCAGAGAACTAAACAGATGCAGATCAGCCATTGGGGGAGTTTGGAAAATAAATACAGATGTTACTTGTTGGCAGAACCGACAATAACCAAAACAAAGCTTCGAAATACCCCCTGTCATGTCTTTCATTTATTGCAAAAACACCCTTCTCCCGGCAACAGAAAACATCAGGTTTTAACAGCCTGGGGTTTGGGATGGCAGATTTTTTTTCATAAAGCAGAGGCTGCTTAACGTGGCCAGATTCATTGACTCTAGGAATCCTGATCCTTTGAAAAAAGAAGAANTCCTTCCTACATCCTTCCTCGTGCTCAACGCACCTTCGATAGCACGTGGGGGGACAAAAGTGCTCTTCTAGAGACAAATCAAGGTAAAACAAAGGGAGTGACAGCCAGTCTCCCCTGCCCAGACCCAGTTAATTCCAAAAGCTCAATGCCAATGCTCTCTGCAAATCCAAACTGTTAAGAGAATTGCCAGGGGCAACACAGAGCAATTACTCAAAAGAAACACATAAATAAAAAGGTATTAAATGACAGTAGGAATCTAATAAGGAAATATATGTTTGCCAATGGATTCATCATTGCACATAAACAAGTTGGTTGGTAATCTAATCCACCTTGGCTGGGGTTGGGGGGGACAAAACTAACTTAAGGTAAGGGATGTCCACAGGTAATAAGGAAACCCGCAAACCAATTTGCTGCCAGCTCAGAAATACTGTTTAGTTCCCACCTAAATGGGTCTTCTTGTGACCTCAACTCTCACCCGTACCACCTTTTCCTAGAAGAAAGGCAGCTAAGCCGTCCTTCTGGATTATAATGGCATGGAGTTACCTGGAGAAAGAAATGTCCTTGTTATCAGCAGCCCTTGACTATCACAGGGTCCGCCCCAGTCAGCCTAGCAGGGAGGTATTCACATTCGGGAGCATTTGCAACTTCGGACTTGCACCAGCTGTCGACCAAGCACTATAAACGGAAACATTCCTAAGATACGATCGGCCCACCTATGACTCAAGAATTGGGAAGCTGTTAGTGTTGTTTTTGCTATTTGCTGACCTCCCAAAATACACATGAAGTCCGACTAGCAGCTCCCTTTCCTTCTCCTTTGCAGTCCTTTCCCCAGTTGTAATTACATCGGTATTTGTGTCTTTACTTGACTCTACACTAGTGGGGATCTTATTCACAGTTTTCCTTATCTCCAGTCCTTAACACTGTGCTTGACATGTGGTAGTCCTGAGAGCACAGTTAGTGTAGACAGGCAGGCAGGCAGGCAGGTAGACAGAAAGGGACAGAGAGAAGGAGGGAGGTGAGAGGGAGGGAGGGTTGATGTTATCAGGTGATGGCAGCCCAGACNAAAAAAAAAAGGAGAGTCCACCCCAATTAAATAACACTGCTACAACAGTAAGATGATTTGGGATTTCTTTGACATCCTATGTACATGGGCAATCGGGGAATGGAGAAAGCAGATTTTACACAGGAGCCCTGTTGTAAACCCAAGGGCAGGCAACACCCTCCCTTGGACCATGGATGGACCCCAGGGCTGGATAAGAGGAGGCTGCAGAGAGATGAATGAGCCTTCCAGCATCAAGGGACCTTTCCACCATGGCGCCAGGCTCAGAGCTACCCCAGGCTCTCACGACAGCGCATTCAGTATGTGGCAAGAAGAGCCTCCCTTTGCTCATGGCAAATGTAAAGATATGACTGGAAGGCTTTATTTCATCTGAGTGAGGCCTGCAATCCCGGGAGTTTGTTCTTGGAGGAAGCAGACAGCAAACACACACAGGCCATGGAGGAAGTGGGTGGCTATTGGACCAACTCCTGTATTCCTCCATAAACTAAAGATGGGTCAAGGGTAGAAGGGTAGACCCCTTTGATTATGCAGCAAGCCGAACTTGCCTTGAGGATGCCCCATTGTCAGATTACAGTAGAAATACATTCTTTCACTGTCCAGGGTCAGGGAGGGCAGTGACATTCTAGGGGACGAAAACATAAGCCCACTTATCAATTCCCCCCTAACAGCTGAGCGAGAGGCTGATGGTCCCATGGTGCAATTGCCAGGGGATGCTTCTAGCCAGGCCTGAAAAGGATAGTGCCCACATTCTAGTAAAACCCCACTCATCACTTAGGAAACTAAATGGGCTCCTGTAAATGTTAATAACCATGGTGGCTGTCCCTCCACAAAAGCTT